TTAATTAAAAGAAAAAATAGTTAAAGGAATTCTCTTATTGGGTCTCCAATCCAGGGCTATTTTTGGTGCTAGTGTGGCTCCAAGGCAGCATTTGCATTTCCTACCAGTGGGGGCCCAGAGGCTGCAGCTGGTCCCCAGTGCCCAGTACCATTGCTTGACCGCGCACTGCCAGCCAAGCAGATGAATCCCAGGCATCGCTCTTCCATCTGCTCTGTCACAGAGGGAAGACAAATGAGTGAATGGAGTTCAAGTCCAGCCAGTCCCTGGCCTCCAAGTAGGAAAAGGACAGGCACTGAGAAGCAAGGCCATGGGAGGCCACAAAAGCAGCCCCTGAAGGAGTCCAGTGAAGTGCCAACACCTAAGAGACCTCGGCTGACCAAAGGGAAGCAAAAACAAGGGTGCTGCTAAGGCCCAGAAAACCACCACAACTCCAGGGAGGAAACTAAGTGGCAAACCCGAAAAACTAAAGGACATTTTACAGAGGTCCTCAGAAGAGGATCAGTGACCATGCGCACCGCCTGCTCCCTCATGGAGGAGCACCTTCTTTCTGGGACTGGACAATTTTGCTCCACTCTCACTGCCTCTCTCCTCCCGACAGACCACTGCCTCCACCAGCCCCTAGCTGCCCTCACCTCCACACTACAAGATACACGAGCCACTGCAGGCCCCCTATGGGCTGTATGGGGAATAGTTTAACCCAGGCCTCAGTTCCCAGCCGCCCCCCCACCCCCATGCACACACACTTGCCCTCCTGAACATGGCTAAATATCCCACTTTGCCACACTTGCACCTGCTAGGTCCCCACTCCCTTGGCAGTGTGTCCTCTGGGCTCTTGGTTTAGGGGCCCTCTCTCTGCTCCTCCATTGTTCACTTCCTATAGAGGGGCCTGGGAGGGATCCGCTGGCCCATCTCATTTTGGCAAGCTCCACTCCACTGTCCTAGAAGCAGGTGTGGCCAATGGAAGGGGTGTTTGACCCCCAGGATGTGCCCAGCCAGCCAGTGTCTTTGTCACCACATGGGGCTCACACCAATGTTTCTTCCTTCTCTACCTTCCTCAGTCCCTGAACTAGGTTGACAGCTCCCCTGGGGTAAAGGAAAGAAGGCAGGATGGGTATGGGCCCCTTCTCCCCAACCCCCAAGGTGCTGGTTCCATCTTTCCTATGTTCACAAACTAACCTCTGAATAATTGTGTTTTTTGTTCCATGTTCCATTCTTCAACGTTGTTATTTCTATTACCCACACCAAATGGTCATCCTCTTTGCCTCCTATTCTGCCCACATTCCCCTCCCCCAAGATATTCTTCTTAGTAGAGAAAACGAACTGGGGTGCAGCGGGCTGGGTTACTGACCACCCCAGTGCCAGGGAAGGTGGGGCCCTGCTACATGATGCTGCAGCAGAGTGAGGCAAGGGGCCCAAAATAACCATGAAGGGTATGGGAGCCACCTTCTCCCCTTGTTCTGTTGAGAAGAGGGCAATCATTATTTGTCCCAGCCTGAGACTCCTCCCCTGGTTTCCTATTTGCAGTTACTTGAGTTAAAAAAAATCCTTTTCTGGGGATCAACAACCTTAAATGCATGTGACTAAGTGAGAGAAGCCAACCTGAGAAGGCTACACACTGAGTGATCCCGATTCTATGACATTCTGGAAAAGGGGAAATTATGAAGACAGTGAAGATTTGTGGTTGCCAGGGATCAGGGTACAGGAATGAACAGGAGGTACACAGGGGACATGGGGAGAAGTGACTCTTCTGTCTGACCCTCATGACACGTGTTCAAACCCATACAATGCACAACAACACAGGTAAATCCAAGCATAAAAACTGTGGACTTAGAGGTGACAATGATGTGTCACTGTAGTTCACTGATTTAGCAAATGCAATGAGGGAGGCTATAGGGTAGGGGAAGGAACAATTTTACTACTCTAAAAAGTAAATTCTGTTAAAAAAAAAAAATAGCTTCCATCTGAGAGTAGGTGCTACATCCAGGACACAAGAACAGGGTACTTTGAGGAAAGAAAAACTCGATGAGATAGGAGAAGTATGAGAGTTGAAATAAAAAAATCCAGAGACAGAGAACACAGGGGATGTAAGGAAACAGAAAAACACAAGACATAAAAACTACCCTCTCCTCAAAGGAGTGACCAGAAACAGATTAACAACAAACAGCCAGGCACTGTGGCTCACTCTGGGAGGCTGAGATGGGAAGATCACTTCATTTTTTTCTTTTTTGAGACAGTCTCACTATGTCGCCGTTGGTAGAGTGCTGTGGCATCACAGCTCACAGCAACCTCAAACTCTTGGGCTTAAGCAATTGTCTTGCCTCAGCCTCCAAAGTAGCTGGGACTA